AACATGTTAGTATCAAACATTAAAGTTCATATTAAGTTTACATTATACTTATTCTTACACCATTAGTGTAACCTTTTCACCTTGACATAATTAACTTAGCTAGACATAATGAAAGAAAGCAAAATAGATAAACAAAATAAGAACATAAAAGTTAACTAAGTAAAGGAAAGGAAATGAAAGGCATAAACTTAATATTAATGAAAACAAAGCATAAAAAATACAAAGAGAGAAAGGAAGAGCATGATCTTGATCTGGAAACCAAGATGCCTAAATTCATGGCAAATGCCTCCTTTTATAGGCCAAAATTAGGAACTATTGATTTGATGACTAATTGATAAGTGGGTGGCCAACTTTTGACTTGGTGACAATCTTTATCTTCTCTTGTCTGCCCAAAACGTCATTGATAACGTCAAAATTGGAGCCAGTTGCAAACATGAAAGTTGTAGGCAATTGTCTCAGCTTTCTTGTGTAAAAATTTCAGCTCATTTGGACTTCTAGAACTCTAGATATGGCCAAAATACCGAACAGTGCTCGGGCTGGAAGACAGATTCGGGCTTCTTTGTTGTTGCTACAATTTGGACTTGATAATGGCCTTTTTAGATCTTGGGCTCCATATGAAAGTTGTAGGCCTATGTCTTACCTTTCCATCCATATAAATTTGACCTAAATCTGAGATCTGTAGCTCCATATATGACCCAATTACCGAACAGTGTTCCGGTTTGGATTGCACCGACATCTCTTTTCTAAGTTTGGCCATCTCTTTATCCTTGCAATTTAAGTTCTTCAAGTCATCAATCAATCCTTTCATTTATGTGATAGACTTGCATTAAAAATAGACATTTACCACAAATTATAGGTATCTTATATTATTAGATACATTATTATAAAACATATTTTAGTTAAGGAGTTATTGATATTTTAAGTGCAAAATGATGATATAAAACCATGATAAAAATGCACTTTTAAGTACTAATCAATAAAGATTGTCACTTAGTTAAGAGTTGACCACCCACTCATCAATTAGTTATCAAATCAATAGTTTTCAATTTTGGTCTATAAAAGAAGACATTTGCCATGTATTTAGGCATCTTGATTTCCACACTAAGATCATACTCCTTCTTTCTCTCTTTGTATTTTTTTGTATTACTTATGTTTTGCTTTCATTAATATCAAGTTTATACTTTTCATTTCCTTTCCTTTACTTAGTTAACTTTTATCTTATTTATACTCTTATTTTATTTATTTTTATTTTTCTCTTTTATTATGTTTAATTAAGTTTGTTATGCCAAGGTGAAAAGGTTACACTAATAGTGTAAGAATAAGTATAGTGTAAACTCAACATGAACTTTAATGTTTGATGCTAAGATTTTTTGTATTTGTTAACTTGTTCATTCTTTAATACTTTGCTTGTTAAATGGTTAATCTAGATTTATGTTGTATAACACTTGGTACAACAAATGCTTAGCACTTTCATAGCCTAACCATATAGTATAACCCACACTTGTACTATGAAAGGAACTTGTCAGGTTATTTATTATTTTGACTTATTATTGTTGTTGTTGTTAACCTCTTAATGACTCGACCTCGGTCTTGCCAGGTTATTTATTACTTCGACACTCTTACACTTTGAAGAAGACATCAATCTTTTCGTGTCACTTATCTACTAGAGACCTATATTCTAGCAAGTTAATAGCGAAATGGATTTAAGCATGTACAAAATTTATTTAATTCAAACATACCATTAAATTAATGATTATGTGTTAATATAGTCCATCATTAATTAATTGATTTTCAGTTTCATAAATATAAAATTTTGCGTAAACAATAACATCGATGATGAAATCATCAATGTAAATTTTATTTGTTTCAATGAAGCTAGCTTAAAAAGTATTATGAATGGATGCCCGTGGTTGAGGCTTGATGAAGAAAATTTAAGGTTAGTACATACATAGTTAATGATTTTTTTAATAAAAATGTTTTTTAAATTTAGAAACTAATTATTTTATGAAAATAATTACAAAGAAACAAATTGGTGGGACGAGGCAAACTCTTGGGTGGCAAGGCAAGTTTGGGAAAATCACAGCATAATTAGGTAAGTTTTAACATGTGAAATTAATTTGATGTTGAATTGTAATTTTTTTGGTTATATATTATCATTTAACAAATTTCTAATATGACGCATACACCTACGCTAAAAGACATATTGAGCTAGATTAATTTGAGAGGTGGAAGAATTGTAGGCTTTCCTACATCATTAAAAGCAATTGGGAGAGATATATAAAGTTTTTCATGTTAGATAATTTTAGAAGGCGTTCACAAAATGGATCCTCGAACAAAAACAAAGATACTTATGGTTCTATTAGCAAGTATATTAACGAGTTACTTTATTTAACTAACTATATAAATCACCTGGTAAGAGAGTTTATTTTAATTCTAAATATTTTTCTTAAAATGACACTTATTATTTGTGATAACATTTTATAAAGGATTTATTTTGTGGGCTACATAGCTTGGATGCAAGCCAACTCTAATGAATTTATACATGTAAATGTATATATAAAGGGTGGACAAACAAAAAAAGATGCAATAGTTTATGAACAATTAAATTGAAGTGTTTATTATAATTCAATTTTTAAATCTTTTATATATTGTTTGGGCTAATATTCTTTTATTCATGTATTTGACTTGTTTATTCTATCATGTAGGAATAATATATTTGACTTGTTCCAACATGAATCAACCATGTAAACAATATAATGTTTTAGAATGACGGCGATGATAATAAATAATCATGATTATAATGAACTAACTTATTTAAAACTGGTTATTAATAATGATTTTTCTTTTAAAATTGAAAGAATTAAAATAATAAATTAAATAATTATGAATGATGATGTCAAGCGAGGGATAAAGATATTTATATGGTCAAAGTGAAGAATTAATAAATTATTGAGAAAATATTTATATTTTATTAAAAAACTAAATTGTGTTGGTAAAAAAAACATTAAATTAATATAAAATTTTAAAACAACAAAATTTTATTATAATTTTTTTTAATTTTCTGAAACATTTCATTTCAAAATCAATGTAAATTTCGTCTGAAAACTTGTTTCTTTTAAACTAAAATATCTAATTTCAGATTTCTTGTAATTAAACTTGACAATAAATTGTCATTTGATACCCACTTTAATTAACGAATGCATGTCGAAGCATCTCTATGAATAAATCAATATTAACACACACGCACTGATAAATGATATGTATTTAATGACTAACTATTGTAAGTGGTTCTTCTCAAATTGAAAGGAATATTGAAATAATAAATTAAGTGATTTTGGACGATGATGCAACAAGAGTGATGAGTGTTACAGATTTTATTACCATTGGCACAACAATCTAAGTACATCACATAAAAGAATCGCAAATTTGTTGTCTAGTAATTATATGGTGAAAATAAAGAATAAATTGAGGAGGAATATATTTATTATCTTATTTAAAACTTTATATACTTTTTGCTAATACAAAGTTAAAGAATCACAGAAATTAATGTAAAAATGACAAGCGACAAATTTGACTCTTTTAAACTGAAATATCTCATTTCAAAATCATTACAATTGTAATCTGAAAACTTACACCAATTAATGCTTGTAAAAGCATCTTTATGAATATGTATTTACAAATGCTATTTCCATGCAGGTATGAAAATATTAATTCAGATTTATACTTATAATTTCCAAAAAAGAGAGGTAAAATACATCTTTTGAGAATAATAATAATAATAATAATAAAGCAATGCTAAACAATATTGAGAATAAGAAAAAGAAGAAAAACTTCGAGAATACACATGATTTATTATATCAGAGTACCGTAAAATCCTATATTATAGTCCTAGATTGTAGAATTAAGCTTTAATATTCACCTAAGAATAAACGTGTAGTGTGGATAGAAACTAGGATCTTAAGCTTTAATATTATAGTCCTAGATTGTAGAAAAATAAATAGAAAAAACATTGATATTTTCTAAAAAGTATATAATTAAATACTTAGATAAAAAAAAAACACACCAATAAAACCAACCTAATAAAAAAAACCCAATCAAACATTTGAAAGTTAAGTTAAAAAAAAAATAATTAAAAAAAAATCAACTAAAAAAATAATTAAAATAACAAAAATAATATCTTTTATATCTAGTTTTAAAACTCTCTGATCCCAATTGGTTATAGCTAATTAATTTTTTATATTGAACTTGTAGATTTTCTTAATTAAATTTGAACATAATTTAATAGTCAAATAAAAAATTATAAATATTTTTATCAAGTTATATATTTGATATATTCAAACTTTTCACGGACTTTGCTTTATCTATTTAGTCTCTACACATATCCAAAAGTTATTACATGTTTTTTTTTATATAGATTTTTAAATACTTTTCTTATCAAGATTGAGTACAATTCAATAGTTAGATATAAAATTATATATTTTACATGTCCATATTTTTTGATAAACTTTGCTTTATGTATTTGGTCCCTACACGTATCCACGAGACGTTACATATTTCTTTTTATAGATTTTTTTCTCTCTCTCTACATCTTAATCTTTCTCTCTAAATCTGTAAACTCTTATAAAAGAGAAGCTAAAAAAGGTAAAGGACTTTAATTTCACACTTCCTCCTCTCCTCCCTGTATTTCTCACACGTCTTGATAGAGGAGAGAACTAGCACAACAAATAATAAAAAAAAGTGCAAACATTAGAGGCATGTTAATGAGAACATACAATGGTCATTAAGGAAAATAAAACAAGGACAATTAATATTGCGCAATCAAAAGACTCATAAACAGATTTTAGCTCTATTTAAACCCTCAAACAACTCCACACAAACATAACCACAAAACAAAAGAGTTTCAGCCTTGCTATAGCAGCTAGTGGTGGTATTGATGGTGTGGACATTCATCCAAGATGATGAGCAATAGGAACTGCAACAATATTGATAGAGTGGTAGTGATGGAGAGTGGACAGCCTACAGCTCCAGAAGGGGACAATCAAGGCTTGAAAAAGGGGCCATGGACGGTAGCGGAAGATGCCATCTTGATAGAGTACGTGAAGAAACATGGAGAAGGAAATTGGAATTCTGTGCAAAAGAATTGCGGATTGATGAGGTGCGGGAAGAGTTGCAGGCTCAGATGGGCAAATCATTTGAGGCCTAATCTTAAAAAAGGTTCTTTTACACCCGAGGAAGAGAAAATCATCATCGAACTTCATGCCAAACATGGTAATAAATGGGCTCGAATGGCCTCTCAGGTAAATATACTCGTGCATGTAGCTTCATGCCATTTTTTTTTTTACATCTCCACCATTTGAATGATGCCTTCTCATCTTTGACCTTTTTCTTCCTTGTTATTAGTTGTTGTATTTTTCTTTTTTCATTTTCCTTTTATCTAGTTTGTTTTAGAAGCAAATGCCATCTAGAATGATAGTTTCTCCAATTAAATATGATGTACTAAGTCTTCTCTTACATTATGTTCTTGAGCTTAAATTAAATTATGATTTCTTGCCCATCTTTTTCCCTTTTTCCTCTTTTTCTCTGCACTCTCCAGTTATCTTTAGTCCCACCTCTTTTTTCAAGTACTTTGTAACTTTCTGCTTCTGATATATTATATCTTTCTCTATTACGGCAGTTACCTGGTAGAACTGATAATGAAATCAAAAACTATTGGAATACCAGAATGAAAAGACATCAAAAAGCTGGTCTGCCTATATACCCCCAAGATTTCCAAGCGAAAACAGCTGCGTTTCGCTTTCACCACCAAGAAGACCGACGAACACAACCCAACTCTACCTCACTCTCCTCATCTCCTTACATTCTCTGTTTTCCACCCCTTGATCCCAACAATAGTTTCGCAACTCCCTTGAACCCTTCGCAGAGTCATCTTAGTCCGCTTGCATTCCACTCCAATCCGAGCCATCAGTTAAAACTGTTTGCTAATACCAACAGTAACGATGTCTGTTTACCTCTGTCTTTGCCTCCTGTTTCGCCGTACCAGCAATCACCTCTTTCTACAAATCCATTGAGTCAAAACCCCACTAGGCAAGCGGTCGCGATAAATACACCACCATCAGTACTGTTCTACAATGATGTAGATATGGAAACCAATATGAGTTTTACTTCACTTATAATGGGGGGTCAAGTTCAACCAATTGGCTTTATTCCTTCAGGCCAAACACCACCAGGGCCGACAACTTCTTGGGGTGGTGGTGCTTGTTTCGAGGAGGCATCCAACAAAAGCAACAACAACGGCTACGGTAACAGTGAAACTAGCCAACAAGGAATGGCAGGCAATATGAACAATAGCGGTTTGTTGGATGCTTTACTGCAGGAGGCTAAGACTATACGTTTCAAAGGGAAATCAAATAGTGATGACTTGCTGCCGGCATGTAACGAAGGGAAACGTGCGATGGATAGTACTGTAAAGGAGGAAGCTACCAATCGTGTTGAATTGCTGCCGAGAAACGGTAGCGAATATTCTTGTGGTGAAAAACTGTGGGATGATTTGAGCTCGTCTCAATCCTCAAATATATGTAAGCTTTTATTTTTATTTTTAAGTTTTCACAATTAATCCAGGATTTCTTTTGTTTACTGTTAAATACTCTGTATCATAGCAGTAATTATGATGGTTATCTTTGGTTAGTTGGTGACTGAATTTTCTCTTGGTATTTCACCCTATTTGCATGAGTAGCTCTCTGTAGCATTAATTAGCTATTCTTTCACTTTTTAGAGGAGGTTATTAATTAAATAATTTATTTATTTTGATACTATATAAAGCCTTGAATAATTGAATCTATTCTTGAAAATTTTTATTATCAAGCACAAAATCTTCGGAAGGGATATTTCTTTTATTTGTTTAATTTTTAAAACTATATTAAGAGTTTAATTAAGTGTTAAGCCTTTATGTTCATTTTTACTACTAATGATTATTATTATTTTATATTCTTTGCCAATATCTTTAACTTTTCCCTAACATAGGACTAAAAAATGTTATTGGTCATTTGTTATTGCATGGAATTTTTAATAAAAAAAGAATTTTCAACAAATATTTTATTTTATTTTATTTAGAACTTGTTTATTTTTTTGTTTTAAAAATATTTTTTAAATTAATTTTTATTTATTTTAAATTAATTTTTTTAAGTATTTTCATTCATTTTAAAATGTTGATGTTTAAAGTTTTTTAAATAATAAAAAATTTCAATCGCTATTATAATATCAAATGGACTCTTACAAAATTAAAAAAAATTAAAAACTTGAAGTTGATAAATTCATATTAATTAGTTTTAATGAACTTATATAAATGATCATTTAACTTTAAGATTTAAGATTCGTATGTGTTTCTAATTTCTTTTAGCGATTCATGACGATCAGCTTCATTTCCAAAAGAAAATTGCAGCTGGATCATCCATAATTTACCACTATGAGAGCCTCCATTTTCTTGCAGCTGATTTAATCATTACTCAAATTATACATGCGAAAATGTAATTGCTTTTGCATTACTCAGGGACAAAACCAAGTGAGGAAGCAGCTGGCCAGGAGTTGAATTCCATGGATGATGACTTAATCAGCCTGCTTAATCACTTCCCATCGTCGGAGCCACTCCCAGAGTGGTATCGTCAAAGCAGAAATGAACGCAATTCCAATAGAATGCCATACAGTGGGCTTAATATTGTTGATGACAACAGAGACCCCGACGTTAAGGAAGATGCTTCACTTACTCGTGCTTCCAACACAGAAGGAGTTCCAAACCGTGGAAGGGCCCTGGTTTCCTGCCACTGGAACAACATGCCTGGCATCTGTTAATTACAACTGTTTCTGCACCAAAAATCGCATGTTCTTAAGAGAAAGAAAGCTTCAAAAAGAGAGCATTCACGAGGAAAATGGTACGGGACATTGCTGGAGTGCTATGGGGTTTCATCTCTTAGTAGCAAATTATAGCTATGGTGCATTTGTGGTTTTATCTCTCAAGTACAAAATGATAGATCGATTTTGGTCTAGCTTTTTATTGTAGTTAGAGCTTGTCTCTGGGGTACCTTACAAATCGATGGAGGCCTAGGTAGGAAGAACAAAAGAGAATAAAGAATAAAGTACTATTTAGGGTTTATGTGGTCTGCATATGGATCATGACTGTATAAGATGGTTTATTTTGCGTATAATTAGTTAATTTTTCATATAATTAATTAATTAGCTTCAATTTGTAATATAACCAAGTTGGCAGTCTTTCCTTTCTTTTTTCTAATTCTTACCTTTTTTATGTATATTTTTTTTTATTTGAGTTTTTTTTTTTTTAAAAATTGAGTTCTTGTTTCTTATTGATTGATTGAATAATGCTGGGAGTGATTAAATCTTTCACAAAAGCTTTCTTATGGGCCGGGTAATTAATTAGTTAATGTGGCATTTCTTTTAAATAATTTTTTTAAATCATGAAATGTAAATCTTTATCTCCTAGTGATACAAGTATAATTATAAGATAAGATAGACAATAAATTATTTAAACACAATCTATACTGTTATTTAGTAAATAAAAATTATCAATTTGTAATTATTATTATTATTATTATTAAGCTTATTGTAAATGAAGTAATCATCATAGATAGAGGGAAATTAACTATTATTATAGCTATTAAATTTAGTTCAGTTTAATAGATTGATGTAATAATATATTAATTTAAATTGTTGTTTAAATTCAATTTAGTTTATAGATTAATTTAGACTAATTTATTTAACTTGATTAATCTAACAAACTCGAGTGAAATGACTTAATTAATTTTAAAATAAAAAAATTACATTATTTTAAAGTTATACCCAGTAAATCAGCTACCTAAACGACGACTAATGAAAAATTGAAAATGCATCGCATGCAGTTCGCACAAGTTGTGTGTTCTTGATGCATTCCATCAAGCCAAATTCAGGATAAGCACAAGTGCATGATATGCCATTGCCGCCTTACAAACCAAATCACGAAAGGGAGGAATGCAAACATGGCCAGATATGCAGCTAATGTTGTTAAAGGCGCTCTTCAGGCATGGCCCAGGCTTTATGCAGGGTTTTAGATCAAAGCATTTTAATTTAGTAGCTCCTTAGATATTTGACTTCCATGCCGGATTTTGAATTCCATTCAACAAAATTTAAGCTTTAAAATGGGAGGGTTATTCTCAATTTTGTATATTATTAAGAGCTAATGGAAATAAAAAAGACATGTCTTTTTATTTTTTATTTTTTTAAAATATAAAAATTCTCTCTAAAATTGTCTCAAAAGACAAATTTATTTTATTTCTTCAATTAAATATTTTTTTTGTCTCTTTTGTATCCGTTCTTTTTATCATGAAATATCAATAAAATATTTATTTATTTATTAGCATTTGAAACGGAAATAAATAACAAAAACTAAAAAAGAAGGGAGATTTCGATAGTGTTAAAATATTGTAGCTCTAGACTTATGGGCACTGTGGACAACGACAATGAAATTATGATTTTTCTTCTTTCTAGCAAAAACCCTTTTCCTTGATTGTAAGGCATAATATGACCTTTTCATATTTTTTTGCACGGTTAAATGAACACGTTGCCCTGGAAGCAAGGTTTAGACTCACAGGTAACATGGACCATGACAATGAAATTATGATTTTTTCCTTCTAACAAAAAACATTTGCCTTGGTTGCAGTGGATAATAGGGTCTTTTTATTTTATTTTTTTATACAGTTAAATGATTATATTTCTCTTGTAAGCAAAACAAATTGAAACTGGCATCTAAGGTTTTTTAGACTTTTTATTTTTTTAAATTATAGTATAATGAATAAATTACCTTTAGAAATAAAAATCCTTTTAATGGCATGTGACACCTTTTTTATGTAGTCATATAACCTTTTAACATGATATTAAAACTATCTCAGTGAATATTTTCTAATAATGGGTTAATGTACATAGCAAACGATAATGATTTTTTAATGGGATTTTTTCTTTCTCCTCTCGAGTATGATTTTTCTAGCTCTTTTTTATAATTAATTATTTCATTTTTTTTCACTTTATTTATTGTAAATTTTTTTATTTTTTTATACTTTTTTTAATATTGAATTTAAATATTATAACCTGCATATTTGTTTATAATAATGGTGATAAAATTAGATAAAAGATAGAAATTTCAATGAAGTAATTTTTTCTCCTTACTATTCAAGTCAAGTATGGAAAAAAAAAACCCAATACATTAACAAAATCAAAATTTAAGGGACGTGAAAGAGAGATATAAGTAGTTATAACTCTAAGGAAATAATTATCTGAACATGTGATTTATAAGCTGGGATGGAACTCTCTAGCGCATAAGATAATAACAAATGCTTTTCCATTTATTTTTATTTTTTTTGAATGAAGAATGGAAATTGAGTAACATAATGTTTTCTTATTAACTTACTCTAAGGATTTTAATAAATGGTTCTTATAAAAGGTTTTTATTTTACAAACATATTTTATACAGATCTGTGAGCACCAAAGACCCGTTACATATTCCAAGTGAGCCCATTATAAGGTTTAAAGCGAAAACATTGAAAGTAGCATCAAATGGACTAGACATGCAAGTTTCGGCCAAGGCTCAATTTAAGGATCCTTTGGAGCATCAATAGGAGGTTTTAGTGCATTTAATTCATATGCAAGAGGGACCCAATACACCTTTATTTGAGCCATGAAGTTTCAACAACAAGGTTACAATTTTGTTTCAGTTTCACTCAGCCTTGTTATGTGATGTTTTCATATGTTTCGTCGAATTATAACTAATGTTGGATTTTCTATGATGTGTGGAAACATTGATTATTTCCTTTAAATATTAGAATTTATTATTTTATTTTGTTTTCTTGATAAATGAGAAGAAAACACAACAAAGAAAACAAAAGAGTCCAAGGACTTAGAAAACACATGGCCAAAATAGTCTCTTTGTTGTGCAAGGAAAATAATTCATCAATTTAATTGTATTTCTTAATATTGAAAGTATACCAAGAGATGGAAAAAATTATCATTAAAGACGACTTCATTTTCCTTCCAAAAATACAAGACTGAGATCATAATCCTATTAGGACTTGAAAATCAAAGAGGCAACAACTTCTTTTTTAGTTTCTAGGATTATTGGAATCAAAGAGGCGACAACTTCTTTTTTAGTTTCCAGGATTATTGGGCAACATTATAAGCTATAAATAAGTCTTGTACAATATTTTCTTTTCTTCTTCTCTTCTCACGACATATAAAGACTTAGGACTTATAGGCTTTATTTTCATTTTGTTAGCTATAGCCTAAGGTTTATTTATGCTTAATTCCTACTATATTTTCAGCTAAAATCTAAAACTTGTTTATATCAGGGTTTAGGCTTAATAATAAATATTTTGGGTCAGTTTTTGTATATAGGTCAAAAACTAAAGCTCATAAAGGTAGATCCATTAGGGTTAATTTTTCAAAACTATATAAACACTTGTAAGCCTAAATTTTGACAGCCATTGATGAATTATACTTCTAATTTTTTTTGTTTTAATGTGTGAAAGAGATTCTTACATTATTTGGTTCTTGAACGAATTAAATCTAACTAATTGAAGATTAACTAGCTTCGGGGCATCATTCTACTCCATTCCAATAGTGCTGGATCCTTGGAATAAGTTTCTATTGTGTCACTCTCCTATTAGACTTCTTTTGTCTTTTTAGGATTAGGTCTTAATCTTGATTGTCGATTGCATGATCACGAGGTTCACGTCAATGTTTCTGTAGTGTTATCATGCTTATATAATTTTTTCTCACTAATCATCTTAACTGACTTTAACCCTTTTAATTAGAAATTTACTTTTATGCAATTAAGGATAAATAATGGAACATTCCTCATTAAATGCTAAAAAAAAAAAAGCAAATGAAATGATGGGTTCAATAAGTCACCATTCATAAGAAGAAGAAGAAGAAGAAGAAGACACATAACATTTTACGTTGTTTGTGGATTTTTAATTAAAAGATTGTTGTATGTAGAACCAATATGAGCATGGCAGCAACGATTGTTGTTGCAATTACAAACATTATGGTATCGACTAATAGGGATTTTGTAGAAATGATGAATTGGAGAATAAGCAAGGAATAAATATGATAAAAGAAGGATAATAAGAGAGTTTCTCATTATAATAGCATAAATAAGATGGTTATGAGGTTGTGCATGACTAGGGTAAAGTTGATCGATCTCAACATAAACCCGAAGACGATATGAAACCAAGAAAGTTTATGTTGGAAAAAATTAGTGTGGTAGGATTTTATGGATAGCAAAACAAAATAGCAAAACTAAAGAATAAGAAGACAGTTTGAGAGGAAGGAATGTTTCATTAATTTTTTTCTCAGAAATACATTATTATTCTCTTCTATATATTGTCTCTCTCATGTTTTGATTACAAGTTTATTTATAGGCATAAGTTCTAAACAATAAAAAATTTAAATTAACAGAAGAATAAACTAATAAGGAAAAGTATTATATCGACTCGACAAATTGATCATTTTTTGAACCAGTCAAACAATTCATTTAATTCAACTAGTTGCTTTACTCTAACCGGTTGACTTGTTCCTAACTCGTTGACCAATTCAACTAATTCTTTAGAAATATGGTTTACTTTTATCTTCCTCTCTTAAACTTGATTTCTTTATAACTCTTAGTATATCTCTCATTTTGGCATAAACTTCATACTTGAAAAAATATTCACAACTTGGTTTTGAGTCTTTACATACTTGACTTCAACTTTCTTATTTGTAATGCAATCTCATAGGCAATAAAATCTTGCGGCAACTGCTTACTTCTGTCA